GGAGTTCCTGGCTGAGGTCTGATCCATTGCCTGACCATTGCAATCATTTGAAGTGTAAACCAGTGAATGGAATATTTCTCTTTCCATCTCTCACTCTATAACTCTGCCTCTCAAAGAGATAATTTTTTCTAAAGTGGCCTGAAAAAAAGCATCAGGTCATTTGTAAGGCAGTCCCTACCAGACTAAGGATAGACTTCTCAGCAGAAACCTCACAGGGCAAAAGATAATAACATAAAATATTTTATATCCTGAGAGAAAATTATTATCAACCAAGAATTAGCAAAACTATCATTCAAGAATGAGGGTAAAATAAAGGCTTTCCATGAATGCAAAAACTAAGACAAATCATCACAACCAGATCAGTACTACAAGAACCGATTTAAGAGAGTCTACATTAGAAGTGAATGAATATTACCCACCATGAAAACACAAATTCCTAAATACAACAGAAAAGATAAATAAAAAAGAATAGAAAACCACCGAATTACAAAGGCAAACAAAATAGAAAAAAAAAGGAACAATTACTATAAACCAGAAAAGTTACAGAGTAACAGGAAAATGTATCATTGATGATCATTTTGCATTCAGAAGTACTAAGTTGCATTTATAAGACAACTGAGGGTCTGGGTTCTGACATGGCAGTTTGAGACACCTGCTGCAATGCTGGCATCCCATGTTAGACTGTCAGTGTGACTCTCAGCTAGTCCACTTCCAATCCAGCTCCCTGATAATGCTACCTGAGAAGGCAGCATCCATGATGTAAGTACTTGGGCCCTAGCCACCTCTGTGGAAGACCCTGATGAAGTTCCGGGATCTTGGTTGTTGTGGAATTTGGGGAAGTGATAAACACAAGAAAGATTTTCTCTCTCTCTCTCTCTCTCCTCCCCCTACTCCATGTGTGTGCAAGGGTGCCCACTGTGTATGTATATACCCCTTTATCATTTGTTCTTTCAAATAAAATAAAATAAATCTAAAGCAAATCTTTCAGAAGATATGACTAACTGAATGGATTTTTAAAAACCAAAAAATCCATTACCCAATAATATGATGCCTACAAACAACTTGCTTCACCAGTAAAAACACACATAGACTGAAAATGATGGGATGGAGAAAGAAAATATACAAATAGAACCCAAAAACAATTATGGGTACCTATCTTTAGATAAAACAGATTTTTAAAAAATATAAAAGCCTGGAAAAACCACTATGCAATGAAATCTGTAAAACACTGATGAAAAATCATAGAGAACACACAAAATGGAAAGATAAACCAGGTGTATATATTTGAAGAGTGAACAGTAACTATATAAAAATGTGTGGGGATTTCTCAAAAAAAGAATATTTGTAGAATATTTGTAGTATGATGCAACACTCCCACTATTTGGTATATATTCAATAGAATTGAAATCAGTTTGTAGAAGAGAGATCTGTACTCACGTATCCATTACACGACAATCAAACTAAGGAATCAATCAACCTGTCTCTTTAGGGGTTAATGGATAAAGGATATGGAATATATACATTAGAAGATACATTCTGTCAAAAAGAGAATGGCGTTCTGTCATTTGTAACATCATGGATGGAACTAGGGGACATTGTGTAAAGGGAAACATGCTCTCCATACGAAAGCCAAAAAGCTCCTCTCAAAGAAACAGATAATAGGAAAGTAACCACAGAGTCTAGGAAAGATGTTAAGAAGGAAGGAATGGAGAGAGAATAGTGACAGGGGTACAGCTGCATAGGAAGAAGAAGTTGTGATGTCCTTTTACATAGGACAATTATGGTTGACAATAAGTGATGGAATATTTTAAAATAACTAGTAGAATTTTTGAATATTTCTATCATAAATAAGTGATATATAGCTTAAGTGATAAAAACTCAGTTATCCTGACCTGATCATTGTGCATCATATACACATATTAAGCTGTCTGTCACACTGAACATCATTAATGTATACAATTACCACGTGTCAATTACAATAATTAATTTTCTAAAAATGGTTAACTTCACACCTATGAGTTAACAAAACACTGTAAAATCAAAGTCTAAAACTCGAAGAAATAATTTACTCAATAATCTCAGTGCCGTAAGAGAAAAAGAAACAACTACGTATCCCTGAAAATAGACAGCCTTCGTAGCAAATCAAACATATGAAATGCAAAGTCTTACTGGAAATACTAAATCACACAAACCAGGAGTGGCCCTGCCAATTTGGAAGAAAATTCTCCAAATAATGTAGTTTTGTTTTAGTCACTGACATATGGGAAAATTTATGTAGTAAAGTATATACTTATAAAGTTTCAACTTATGTTTAGTGAAGGGAAACAATTTATTATACCCCCCAAAAAAGCAAAAATGTATGACAGATGGTAATGCTTTTTCTTCTACTCTTGGCAGAGTCTTTTTTGGCTCAATGGCCTTCACTTCTTAAAGCTTTGAACATTGTCATTCACACCTATTTTTTGAAATTAAACAGACCAATTCTATGATGAAACCTCCTACAAATTTGGTTACTGTATAATGTCTTCCCATTTAGCATTATAAATTATCTAGAGTACCACTTTCCTTAAAATAATTAAAAATGACAAACCTGGGCAAAATGAATTACATAATGTAATGTTTATTTTAAATTCTTTAAATCAATTTGGAAAACCTTCTACAGTTAAATTTATTATATGAAAACTTTACAAAGAACATTATGAAAGATTACAGAAGAAGGGCATTCTCCCACCTTGATATCTTTCCTTTTGGCATTTAAAATGTTCAATTCTTTTCAATTCTTTGCAAAAACATGATTTAGGTATACAGTTAGTGAGGTCAAGGATCTTGATTGATTTGTCTTCTGAAAAATAAGTGAAAATGTTCATAGGTTTATATGGCATAAACTGGTTTGGTTTGTTGTATTACTTCAATAGGAAAGCCACTCTCAAAATTAAAAAAAAAAAAACACATTTGTTGAATGAAGAATGGAAAAATGCAATGTATAGGCAGGTGGAGAGCAAGGTAAATGATGAGATCAGACTCAGATGGTTAATACTGTATGTCATCCCCCAGATGCAGGAATTAGAGCTTTGTTCCTCTCAAAGCAGCCAGTATTATGCCCTGTCTGTTTGTGACAGCATTTATTTTATTGTTTTGTTTTGTTTATTCACATTGTTTCCCAAAGGCTAAATATCATCAGAATTATGGAAAACTGATTCTCACATAAAAATTTAAAAAGTGCTAGGGTAGTTTGGGTAAAAATAAATAAATAAAAGTTTATTTCTCCCAGCTTAATAGTGCCAAGCAAATGCCTTTTGGGTGAGAAGCTGGTTGTTGCTCAGGCGAAGGAGAGATCTCCAAGCCACAGCAATCAACAGTGAATCAAGACTTCCAAAGTTATCCAAGTATCCAGGCAGGAACAAGTTCATGGAAAAATTCCTGGGAGACATTTGAAGGGCCAGACTTACCAGATACGTAATTCCACTCATAACTCATTAACTAGACCTGTTATAAGTTCACATCTAAGAAAAAGAATGCCTGGAAAACATCTGATACTCCTAGGAGAAAAGAAAAGGAAAGGTTTAATGAAAAGCTAGACAGGCTGGGCCACAACACACAGCACGAGCATTTTCTTGCTACCAAAATTGGAACTGGCACCTGTTACTAGTGATAGCTCATGACATGTTCTCTGTGATTTAAAGGGTAAGATTTAACTTTGTTCTTGTTCAATTTTTGTTTCTTTTTCTTATCTGTAACCTACATTTTTAGTCATGTACTAGAGATTTGACATAACTCCTCACACATCTTTTATTTTTGAAGAGTTCATTCACGAAAGAAAAATTGTAACAGCATGATCTTTCCAGTTAAACTGCTAATTTTTAGAATTCTTTTTTTTTTTTGAGAGGAGATGCTAATTTACTTTCTCGATACAATGAGTAGGGCAACTGTGGGGGCTAGAGATAGGAGTAGGGAACAAAATCCAGTTCCTCTAAAAAGAACGCAGGAACCCCCAAATTGAGCCGTAACTATGGCCTTGCACGGCCGACATGAAAGCTGGAGCTGGAACTTGAACAACTCAGTAGGGCACAAGAGCTTCTGCTCTACTAGGCTAGTACCTGCTTCCTTGTTAACACTGGCAACGAAACCCACACAGCTGAAATACCAGAAGGCTGTTCTACCATATTTGCTAAAAAAAAAAAAAAAAAAGAAAAGAAAGAAAGAAAAAAGAGAGAGAGACTTCCCCCACACAGCTTCCTCCCTCCTAATTTGAAATATGGGAGGAAATCAAATCTGGCCAGAAATTCAGAATGTCATCAATGGTTGTTTTTGGCTTTGTTGAAGATGTAAAAAGACTCATCCTTATTTCCAAGCCATTCTACAATGACACTTGCCCTTATTTAGCACGGCCCAGGAGGCAGGACTAGGGCCAAAGTGGAAGTTAAGGTCAAGTTCAGCTTCACCTAAGGAAGTGGATTATCATGAGTGACAAAACAGCATAGGGGTAGTGGTGGTGGTGGTGGTGTGTGTAGTGGTGGTCTGTGTTCCATTCCACATTACTGCAGTCCAAAAGAAGACATAGCAGGGTGTCTGGAGGATTCCAGATACCCTCAACTACTGCACAGCCTTTTCAACAGAGTGGATCCCCTGAAAACCAAGTGAGGTTGTCTGCTGAGCCCAAGAGCAGCCTCAGCCTGACCCCTCCATGCGCACAGGGTCACTGTGCTCCTCACGGAAAACCCTGCAACTTAACTGGGCTTTGGGGTCAGAGCCCGGGAGCCCTGACCCCACTGACCCCACTGACCCCACTGACCCCACTGACCCCACAGGCTGCCCCGCTAGACTGTTTGGTTGCCGTGGCGACCAGAGCGGTCGCTCCCAGGAGGCCTGTGGCTGGGGGGGGGGGGGCGCCGACGGAGGTTCGGGAAAGCAGGCGTGGCCTTTGCTGTTACTATGGCAACGAGGACGCTTGGGCCGGGAGGGAGCCCGGTTTCGAAGCCAATGCTCCTCCCGTCCTTTGAATGGCACCCAAGAAAGAGAAAGGCGGGACAGTGAGCACCGGCTCTAAGATATGGGAACCGTCGCTAATAGCTGCGCACTTCAATCAGGTGAGGCCGGAGACCAGGAAGCGCTCGCGTCCCGCGACTCTGAGGAAGCCCCAGGCCAGGCCCTGCGCCAGACCGCTTTGCTTCCCCTTCCCAACGCCGCGTTACCCTCAGTCCTCAAACTCTAGCCCACTAGGTGAGCCCCTTCTCCCAGATGAAGGGCCCCGTTCACCAAAGCCGGGGTCCTTTGCTCATGCAGTGCGTGGTCAGGGAGTGACCGTTACTGGCAGGGGGAGGGAACGGCCCCTGTGTGAGGGCGACTTGGAGGGTGTTGAGCTGTGGTGGCGCAGGGAGGAGGCGTCATCCTGACACCGCCAAACCTGACTCCGAAGTTGTCAGGCAGGCACTCCAACACTGTGCTGGCGTCCTCTATGTGAACTGTCCCCTTTCTCTTACCAACGCAAGGGCAAGGCCCCTGTCCCATCCTCTGTGACCTGGCTTGGCTAGAGGCTGAGAGAAAAGAGCCACACAGCGCCTAGGAGAACATCGTGTGTGTACTGGTCATTAATACAAGTGAAAGGAGGAACAGATTATGAACGCCTTGGTACCACTTCATGTACTTCTGATGTATTTGGAAGGGAGAGCAGAGGAGGTAGTGTCTTGTCCACAGGATGTCAGAGGCTTTGAGCTGTCTGCAGCCAACCGGCCTCCTGTGACTTCAGATTGCAGGTGATCCCAGAGTTGACTCATTCCTGCAGGCAGAAATCCACTTCTCCACTAGGGTATTCTTAGTCGAGCTTAACATCTAGAAAGACAAAAAAAAAAAAAGGTTGTTGTTTCTTCCACGGTGAACTTTCGTAAAAATTGTAGAAAAAAAAAATTTGAATGTCATATGTGTATTTGGTGCACTAGGAATTTTCTGCTGAAAGAAAAACGGGTTTAATTTGGTGTCATCCTCGTGAGAAATTTTTACTTATTTGTCCTTATTGTACACTCTGATTTTTTTTTTCTCTATCTGATATGGAACTCTGCCCGATATGGGAAATCAGCCCTGATGGAAAATGTCCTGCAAGCCATTATGATACTCCTGACACGTGATGTCATGGGATTGAGGTCATTTTTGTAACTTCGGGAATGAAAGATGTCAATTGGGCAATCCCTAGTTAGGTTCTCAAGTTCTCGGTGCTGTTTTTCAAAGCACTTTGTAAAAGCACCCTCTCTTTTGCTTTTGTACGTCAGCTCTAGCCAAAATATTTTTTTCTCCATTTTCTTAGAGATGGCATAGGCCAAGTTTGGGCCTGGAGTGAACATTTCTGCTTGAATTATAAACTGCTGAACGGCAGGATTTGATGGAGGTGCTGACACTGCATTAGCTTTAGTGTTGCGAATGTGAAGCTATAATTTTCCTAGTTGAATGGAAAACCTAAAGGCACTATTATCCTTATGGCTTGAAAGCCTGAAATAATATTCAGCTTTTTTTTAAAATCCCATTCAAACAATATCATTTTAACAAATATTAGGAGTTAATAGCAAGGATTTGAATGCAAAATGAATGGTGTGTAGCTTCACTGAAAAAGGTGAGCTCTGTTTTGTTAGATTTGTTGAAGTGGATGTTTCGTAAGAGGAAACATAACTGCCCTGCGCCATGTCCTGTATTTTTTTCCCTTGGCTTAGCTTTATCTCTAATCCAAACATAAAATTCCAAATTAACCCAGCAGTTCAATCTAGTGCCCAAATGCATGACCTAGAGCACCAGCGCAATGAACTCTGAAGTTAGCTTAAAGACAATTAATTGTAGGTGTGTGAATTTGTTATTCACCTGCCTTAGTAGAATTTTTGAGTGTAGCAATTTGACCAATATTGTTTTAGTTTCCTATTTGCTGAAAACAAATGTTATTTTACTTCCCAGAATTTCTTTCCATACAGTTATTACTCAGGTGTGTGTGGTAGATTTTGTATGCGCCCATGCACATACTCAGGTGGTGTGTGTGTGCGTGGAAGTTGGCATAAGAGCAAGTGATTCTCTGGCGTTTTGTAAGCCAATTTTTAAAACTAACTCATTGAAAAACCCAGATCAATAGTGATTTTGATCTCATGTTCATATTAGGCTTCACTCGGCTTTAGCGTGAATAAACACGTTTACTCTTTGGTTTTTAGTTATTTGGGGTTATGCTTTCACGCAAGAATAATTGTCCATTTTTCAATTAATTGTGAAACAAAATGATGGCAAATAATACCAGACAGTTTATTTCTAAACGCTAGATAATTTGGTAGAGACCAGAAGCTGGTAAGTTGAATATTGGCTGGAGGTGTCAGGAAATTCTTTATAAAAGACTGTGTGTTAGCTTGGCCCTAAACAAATGGGTAGAATGTTTAAGAGCTTTGTTGCTTTACAAAAGTACACACACAGGCACACACACACGGAGACAGAGAATCTTCCATTTGCTGGTTTAATATCCCTAATGCCAGCAACAGCTGGGCCTAGACAAGATCAGAGCTGGGAGTCAGGAACTCCAGCTGAGTTTCCCACACAGATGTTAGAAATCCAAGCACTTGAGCCCTGATCTGCTGCCTCCGGTTAACAGGGAGCTGGATTGGAACTGCAGTAGCCGAGATGCGGGCCTCCCAAGCAGGGGCCTTCACCTGCCTTGCTACAGCACCAACCACGATGGGTAGAATTTAGAAAGGTAGAATGAAAAAGGACAGTCATTTTGGGTAAGAAGACCAAGAAGTACCTTAAATGAATCAGAAACATTTCAACAGCAGTGCTTCTGAGCTCTGTCAGATGATCACTTACCATCTTTTCTATCTGTATACCAGGATATTTGGCATACTAAACTATGTGAAGTACCCTGCCTCAAATCAGATTAAAAGAAAATATTCAGGTGTATTGGCAATAGTATTATAAGCATACACTTCAGTGTGGGCAAATATGTAACAGATACTTGATGATCCTAAATAGCATTATGAAGTTAAAGATGCTCTAACATCATGTGAATTAAAATCTTTCCATGCAACCATCAAAGCTTATAATGTTGTCTACAGTGAGAGGAAGATGTGTTGACCTGATTCCTCAGCTAGTGCTCATTAATCCATATTAATTTCCTCACCCCTTCTCTCCCCAGCCTCTTAGAAAATTCTCATCATTCTACTTTCTGTTAATTGACCTACTCTGGGTACTTGATAAAATAGAATCATGTATTACTGGTCTTCCAGGCCTGGCTTATTTCACTTAGCATAATGCTATAGTGTGTGCAAAAATTGCCGTGCTTTTCAAGGTTGAATGGTATTCTATTGTATGTATTTACCACATTTTTACTTAACTCATTCAGACTTTGATAAACACTTGGCTGGCTTTCACTTCTTGGCAACTGTGAATGTTGCTGTTGACCTGGGTATAGAAAACTCTTTTGAAGTCTCTGATTTGAATTTGTCTGGTTATGCATATGCACACGGAAGGGCTGGATGACATGCTGAATCCAGTTTTGTTAAAAACTGCCTTACAATCTTCCATGGCAGCTAAACAACTTTATCTTACTACTAACAATACACACAGTTTATCGTTTCTTTACATCTCACCAACATAGTTCATTTTCTAATTTTGCTTTACTTTACTTGTATGTTTTTAATAACCATACTAGCAAATGTAGGGTAATATCTTTGGGGTTTTAGCTTTCTCTAGAGATTACTGATGCTGGATATCTTTTAAAATTATTTCTTGGCAATTATAAATATTATTTTTATCAGTTTTTAAGCTGTGATAGGTTTATTTGTTCTTGAACCTTAGTAGTCTTTGTTAATCCCTTATTAGGGATATAACTTTCAAATATTTTCTCCTATCCGACGGGTTGCTTTCCCAATTGGGACTTTGTACATGATTACTTTCATGTACAAAGCTTTTAATTTTTGTGAAGTTAAATTCACCTATTTTTTTGTCTTTTGCTACGTATACATTAGGTATCAATGTAAGAAATATTTCCAAATTCGATGTCATAAGAATTTTCTCCGGCATTTTCTTTGAAGAGTGCAGTACTTTTATCTCTTAGAGTTAGGACTATGATCCACTTTGAGTTAACTGTTGAATCTGGTGAGAAGTAACAGTCCAACATCACTATTTTGCATATGGATATCCAGATTTCCCAGCACCAATTATGTATACTACCATTTCTCCATTGAATTATCTTTATACCCTGGTCAAAAAGACAAAACAAAATAAACAATCGAACAAAAAGACCATGTTTACAAAGATTTCTTTCTTAAATTTCTAGATTATTCATTAAAGTTAGTTATCTTCCTTCATGCTGGTAGTTCACTGTTCTGATTACTGTAACTGGTAAGTTTTGAAATTAGGATGTGTGAGACCTTTAGACCATGTGGACCTCTTATTAGGGTGCGAAGGGAAAGGTATGGAGGAAGATGGGTAGAACAAATATTTCAGGTTTTTTTGTTTTGTTTTGTTTGTTTGTTTGTCCTGTGTCAGAGGAGGAGGAGAGGGAAAGGACTATTCCTTGTTGTCAATCTACATCAGCATCTGGGGTTGGGGCAGGCTCGTTTGATGATGCCCTATAGACCCTAATGTGCGGAAGAGTTTTCATAGGATGTTACCTGTGTGGTTTTGATGGTTCTGAGAAGTTGCTCGTTTTACTGCTCCAGGATTGAGAGAATTTTTCCAAGGTTGGTTAGTTGACAAAGTGCATCTTGAACTGTCAACATGTTGCAAGCTCAGCCAGGAGAATTTTCCAGCCTGTTCTTTGCATTCTCTGAAGGGGCAGTTAACTTCCCCTGCTGAGATGAGCTTCCCCTTCCAGATGAGCTGGCTGTCATAACCCCTGTGTGCTGCATTTAGGCATGCTGTCCACTGCAAAGGTATCCGCACCTGAGAAAGCTCAGTCCTGACACATGCACTGCAAGGTCACACCACATAATTTGTAATTTTTTTTTTCCTGCGGCCAAGGTCTGATTCCAGCAGTCAAGTAACCTTGTCTGGGGTGACCTCAGCCTTGATTCTTCTGTGCACCAGCCAGTGCAGGGTCAGGTTCGTTGTGTCACCTCCACCAGCCAAA